TGTCCTCGTCCCCAAACTCACAGTTAGCCTGTCCCATGGATCAACAAGCACCACTCCACTCCACAGCTGCATGGAAAACACCCTCACAAATCTCCAGAAATGAACAGAGCCCCTCCTGTCCACCGCCCCACCCCCCTCTCTGCCTGCCCATCGGCAGACACCCCCTCCCCCCCAAGACCTGGCCAAGTCCTGGGAAACTGTCTGTCCACCACGAAATCAGGACAGGGACTCACCAAGGCTTCCTGGGCATGGCAGACACCAGCTGGGATGGGGCCTGGAGTACGCAGGTCCCTGGAGCTTGCAGACCTTGCCACCTAGCAAACAGTACCTCCAGGTGCGTCCCCAGTGCCTGGCAAGGACACCGGGCCACAGCCCAATTGTTAGCTAAGCACTCGCCTGTCTCGCTTCTCCCTGCAGCCACGCACGCCCCAAGACTCCAGATCCCAAAACACATGTTCGTGGTTACCATAGGAACTTGCTAAAGCCAAAAAAGGCACCACACAGGCCCCCACATGGGCCCTCAGAGCTCATGTCCACCTTCATTAGCGAGCACGCACACGCCGACACACACTCACACGCGCCAACACTGTTCTCAGCCTCAGGCTCATCACAAAGTGAATGAACCAGGGTCTGACACCTGAGACAGCAATAACCACAACTCCCCTGGGCCCCGCCTGGAAAGCAAGTCCCCCACGCTCACCTGAGGTGCACCTGTCAAAGGCACTCCAGGTACTGGGGGTTGGGGGAACAGCCCCAGCCACCACCAGCTACACCTGCAGAACCTGGGGAGGGCACTGCCCAGCAGCCTCCCTGCCAGCCACAGACCGGCTCTCTCAGCCCCTGATGCAGCCCCTCTCTCCTGTCCCCTTTTGTGGGGTAGGAGCAATAAGTCAGGGGGAGGGTGGAAATTTCATATCCAGGGACTATATTTAGAGCCTTGCCACACACACGTATACGCGTGCATGCACACACACACACGAACACACACACACACTGCTCAAACTCCCAAGAGCCCCATCTCCACAAATGGGACCAGCACCCACCCAGGGCTCACCCCTGGAAACCTGAGAATCATCACCTTAACTCTCCCCACCCAGCCCCCAATTTCAAACCAGCTTCAGGCTCTCCAATCCCTCCTCTGTCTCCAGTTCCACTGCCACCACTCGGGTCTCCCCGCCTCCCCTCCAGCCACTCCTGTCAGTACCTGGACAGCAACCAGAGGGGTCTTCACTCTAATCCACCCACATCACTCCTGGACCAGAGCCCTTAGATCCAGCCCAGCCCACCACACAGCCCGCCTCAGCTCCTAGACGTGGCCCAGCCTGCCCCCGCACTCCCACCCCTTCTGCCTGGTAGTAAGTGCTCCCAGACCCTCCCACCCACACTGCTTCATGCCTCGCTGTCTTTGTGGGGGGCTGCTGCCCCAGCACCTGTCTTCTGCTGACCTTACACACCCTTGGAGACAGCTCAGGCATTGCCGGGTCTCCAGGAAGTCCTCCTCCCTCCTCTCCGATGGCATCTTAACACTTGTCAGATTCCATAGCAATTGTCTGTCTGTGTGTGTGTCTGTCCGTCCGTGGGGCTGAAGCTGTCAAGAGTAGAGACAGATCTTTTTCATCTTTGCCCCCACCAACCCCTGGCCTAGCACTGAGCTTGGCATGTGGGTACCCCGTAAACATTAGTTGAACTGATTCAGCCTTCTACCCCCAAAAAACAAGCTCCTTCTGTCCTTGACAACCCCAGCAAATGTTCAGCAGATGTCCTAGGTGTGTAGGAGAGGAGTTGACAACAATGAGTCAGCCCCAGAGCATTCTGGAACATCTTGGTGGTGCCTCAAGGATCCTTGTAATCCAGGGTAAACAAAGACCTGGTGGCCAAAGGTGGAGAAATGAACTGCTGATTGTGCCTCAAGCAATGCATGAAAAAAGTACTAAATCAGAAAGAAGAGGTGAACTGCAGAGAAATGGGCTTTCTGGGAGGAAGCTGGAGATGGACCCGTGGTACTCGGATGCCAGGGCCCTGACTCTACCCTCCCCCAGAGATGAGAATGTGGCTTACTGACACACAAAATGGCCAGGAGAGGCAGGTGACTGCAAAGATAATCAACTAGAGTTGGCCTGTAATCTTCACAGAATGGGAATGAAAGCCCTGAGTATAGAAAGGCTGGGGCAGGACAAGCAGTTAGCGTAATGGCTATGTCGCTGGACTCCCACGTAGTCGACTGTGGTTCGAGTCCTGGACCCGGTGGCTTAAACTCACGCCGGGCACGTGTGCATGCGTGCCCAAGATCCCGAGAGGAGAATGGAGGAGAAGGGACTATGGCGTGGCTATCCTCCCTGGGGGGCGATTTCTCGCTTTCTATCTCTCTATCTCTCTCTGTCTGTCTGGCGAGCGCACATGCCCTATAGCAAAAACCTCTCCCCACCCCCCCAAAAAAAAAGAAAGAAAGAAAGGCTGGGGCAGGGCTGTCCCCATAGCACAATGGTTAAGCACTGTGCATTGGGAAGATCCCACATAGCTGACTGGTTTGAGTCCTGGCCCCAGAGACTTGAAAAACATGACAGGCGTGTGTGTGTGCCCCAAAATCCTAACAGGATAGAGAGCTGGAGGAAAAGAATTGTAGCATGACCATGCCTCACTGGGGGGCTTTCTCTCTCTCTCTCTCTCTCTCTCTCTCGTAAGCACATGCACTGGGAACAGAAACAGCTTCCCTGCTCCCCTGTCCTGCGTGAGTAGTGAGTGTCTCCAGAGGCTGCCACTAGGGACTCCAGAAGCCAAGGAAAGCTACACTGAGACACATATCTGTTCCTGCCCAGTGTGGCCACCTTATTTCCTATTAGGATTTTTAATTCTTCGCTGGTTAAATCCAAAACTTAGAGTAGGGTGACTGTGCGGTGTCTTCTGACCAAACCACAGGATGGCGGAAATGTCTCCCTCTCTCTCCTCCTGGAGAAGTAATCAGAGGATGCCATCCCACCCAGGTCCCATTAGTCTTTCTCCCCATCCAGAGATGCCATCTCTAGGGACCAAGAGCTGGGACTATCGTAGGATTCGGGTCTGCTACATGATGTAACAATAATGTGCCACTCAAGAGAAGCCAGATTCCACATGGCAACTACAGTTCAAATTCCTAGTCTGCTTGGTCTGAAACATACTGGGCACGTGTGCGTGCGCCCAAACTCAGATGGGCTGAAGGACAGAGGAAGGAGAATGCAGCGTGATTGGACTGGTGGAGGATGCTCCTCTCACTCTCCTCTCTCCCTACAGGTACACACACATACTCTATCGATACAAGTCCCCTTCATACCTAGGAGTAGAACTGCTGATCACATGTTTTAACTTTTTGAAGGATCTGCCAGACTATCTTCCAAAACAATTGCACCATTTCACATCCCCACCAGCGACGGATGAGTTTCCAATTCCTTCACATTCTCACTAACACTGGTTATTATCTGTCCTCTTTATTACACCTAGCCACGTGCTTTGTGAAATGGTATCTCATTGTGATCTGATTTGCATTTCCCTGATGGCTAATGATGTTGAGGATCTTTTTATATGCTTATTATCCATTTATATATCTCCTTTGGAGGCATGTATATTCAGCTCCTTTGCCCGTTTTTATTTTATTCACTAGAGGGTACATGGACTTGCTAGAAAGAGAGAGAGAGACAGAGAGAGGGAGAGAATGCACCCCCCAATAGGGCATGGTCATGCCTGTTGGGTCATGCCACAATCTCTTCTCCTCCATTTCTCCATCCCATCAGGATTTTTGGACACACTTGTCACAAGCATACACCTGGCATATCGTTCAAGCCAGCAGGGCTGGGATTTAAACTACACAGTTGGTCATGTGGGATCTAGCTGCCTTAACCACCCAGCAGGGCAGTTAATTATTTAATTATATTTTAATTATATCTTTGTTTTAATGAGTTGTAAATGTTCTTTATATATTCTAGATACAAGTCCCTTATCAAATGACTTACAATATTTTCTCCCATTCTTTTTTTTAAGATAGTTCGCATTTTAATTATGGCATCTACAATAAATATCAAAAAGAATTTTTCTAATTAACTTTGAAATCTCACAACCTCCCTGTTTAAGGAAATATTATCTCTGGGGACCAGCAGTTGGTGTAATGGCTATGTCACTGGACTCCCATGTAGTTGACCGTAGTTCAAATCCTGGACTTGGTGGCTTAAACTCACGCTGGGCACGTGTGCGTGCATGCCCAAGATCCCGAGAGGAGAATAGAGGAGAAGGGATTGCGGCGTGGCCATCCCCCGGGGGGGGGGTGATTCTCACTTTCTGTCTCTCTGTCTCTGTCTGTCTTTCTGGTGAGCCCATGCGCCCTATAGCAAAAACCTCTTCAAAATAAATAAATAAATATTATCTCTGAAATAATTAGACTGAATACTTTAAGAATTAGAAACTTAGTCTCAAGATCCTATTTCCATAATAAAATATCTTAACAAATTTCCTAAATATGTTCTATCTAAATTTTCTTGGCTGTAAGATGTCAAGAATATGGAAACATATTTACTATTGACAGGACATTTAGTGACATCAGTTTCCATCAAAGTCACGTAATGATTATATCATCGACCATTTCCATTGGTCAGCAGGAGGTTCTTCCACTAACAGCTCCCATGGTTTCTATTTCATCCTTTTTCTCGCCAGACTTAGTTCATTTTCTGCCTGAAGAATCCCCTCTTCTATTTGACCACCCTGAAGTTGGTCTTCTGATTTTTTAACATCTGATTCCACTTTCACCACACCCAGCCTGTCATTTGTTACCTGTTCTGTATATTTTCTATATGCTGCATTTTTTGGCATTTGCTGACGAACATCAAGAATCTTTGCATACAATATTCTCTGGTGCTCCTGTGGACTGTCGGACACAGCCAACCCCACAGGATCTGTAGTCTTCTTCAGCAAACAGCCAGAGACAAGCGGACACTGCACAGCCTTCTATTTTCTCCCATTCTTTGGGTTGCTTTTTCTTTTTTTTTTTTTTTTTTAAGTTTATTTATTTATTTATTTCATGAGTGAGAGAGACAGAGAAAGAGACAAAAAGAGCCCCCAGCTTCAGTTAGTGCAGGTTACAAATACCCACTTGCCCATCATCCAGACATAAACAGTAGCTTCCCCCTATGGGTTGGCCACACAACGCACTAGGTTCTACCACTGTGCCACCATCCACCCCCTGTATTTCCATTTTCCCGATAGTGATGTTCTTTGTAGTGTGAAAGTTTTTGATTATGAAGTTGAATTTATCTTTTTTTTTAATTGTTGTTACTTGCACTTTTGGTGTCATTTCTGAGAAACTATTGCCTTATCCAAGGTAACAAACATTTACACCTATGTATTTCCATTTTCCCGATAGTGATGTTCTTTGTAGTGTGAAAGTTTTTGATTATGAAGTTGAATTTATCTTTTTTTTAATTGTTGTTACTTGCACTTTTGGTGTCATTTCTGAGAAACTATTGCCTTATCCAAGGTAACAAACATTTACACCTATGTTTTCTTCTAAAAGCTTTGTAGTTTTAGCTCTTACATTTAGGTCTTTCATCCATTTTGAGTTAATTGTTGTATATGGTATGAGAGAAGGATCTGATTTCATTCTTTTGCTTGTGGATATCAAGTTCTTCCTGCATCATTTGCTGAAAAAAATGCTTTTTTTTTTATTTAATTGTCTCAGCACCCTCACTGAAAATCATTTGACTATAAATGTGAGACTTTATGTTTGAATTCTATTCCATAGATCTATGTGTCTGTCTTTATGCCAATACCACACTGACTATAGCTTTGTAGTAAGTTTTGAAATTGCGAAGTATAGTCCTCCAACTTTATTCTTCTTTTTCAAGATTATCCTTGAATTTTCATATGAATTTGGGGATCAATTTACAAGTCTCTACATAGAAGCTAGCTGGGATTTTGATAAATACAGGTTTCCAGTTCTTGGTTCAACTTCTCCTAAGCCCTAGCTCCATTTCCTCCCTTTGTGGCCCCTGAGGAACCCTGCAATCTTTTCCATAAATCCCACCTCTTGCTTAACCAGACTTCACTAAATTCTTAAAATCAAAAGAAACATAACCAACACAACTAGAAAAGTCCTGGCCCAAACCACCATCTCAGCACCACCCCCTCAGTAACTGTTCCCCAGCTGCCCAGAAGTTCACCGCAGTCCCAATCACAACACTGGCACATGCTTCCGGCCCTTCATTCTACCTGTAACTAGTTCCCTTTCAGGTTAAAACAAACAGGCCCAAGTCAGCTGGTGGCATTGTGGCTAAATCACTGGACTCCCACACGGCTGACTGCAGTTCAAGTCCTGGACCTGGCATCTTGCTTTCTGGCGTTCCCTCTCTTTCTCTCTTTGATGAGTGCATGTGCAAATTAAAAATAATAATAATTAATTCAATTACATCAATCATTCTAAAATAAAACAAAAAACAGGCCAGTAAAATTTAACTAGGTGTCCTAAGACAGCACCAAATGAACGTTTCTTCCAGTCCACACCCCTCATAACTGCTTCACACCTAGCATCTCTCAATATGCAAATAGGCTCTGGGAAACTCTAGGAAGGTCAGACATTGTGCCTGTTGGACAAAAGATATGGAAACTGAAGCCCAGAGAAGTTCAGTGTCTTGCCCAAGAGTGACTTGCCCTGAATGCTGAGCTGCTGATGGGACTGCCATATGGCACCCCTAGCATCAACCCTACAGGGACTAGAAAGTCCTAAAGGACAGGAAGAGCATGTCCTCCATCCCAATCCCACTAACTGTCTACCTTCACCTTTCTGAGCCAAACCAACCAACTTTGGAAGCTTCTTATTTCGACCCCCCTGCTGTGCTAACCTTCAAGACTGGCTGTACTTTGCCTGGGGACCTGTATCCAGTCAGTGCTGGCAACTGAATGACACTACAGAGGGAGACCAGATAGGAAGACCTTCAGCTGAGAGGAGGCAGTGACAACCCAGAGGAGCTGCTGCTGGAGGGCAACTCATTGGAGGAATTTCTCATGCACGAGCCATGCCCATGCATGTTCTGTGAGATCCTAGAACTCCATGGGGGATGTCAGAAAGACGGGCTGATAGGATTGGTGTTTCACATAAAAACTAAAGCGATAGACAATGCAATTATCTTTCTCACACTCCTAAATTTGTGGCCTGAAAGTCACGCCTGCTCCACAGATTCCCACCATCTGGTCGCTGTTGCTTCTGTTCCCGCTCTGTCTCTCTCTCCAGACACCCAGGAATCGAGAGCCCACTCCAGCCTCCAGTCCGGAAGCCCCCCAGACAGAGACTGAAATCTGACAAATGCAACAGTCCCACTGGTGTTCCCCACACGCAGGGGCACAAGGGCCCCAGAGGATCTCCAGTCTGCCATCATCTCTGACTCTACAGAACAGGAAGTGTCTACTTACTTGACCTTCAGGCTCGCCAGCATGGTCTTGTCGATCCTGCCAAGAGGAAAACAAAGGCTTTAGCCTGTGCAGGGACTGAGGCTCCCACCACCACCTGCAGGGAGGGGCCCCAGACTGGTCCAGACTACCAGAGTGGCAGGGCTCTGCAAGGGACAGCTGCTACCATACCCAGGAGGAGAGCGCTGTGAGTTCTGGGAGTCTGGAGCCACACATAACGCTGTAAGCTATTATTCTCCCCATTTTGGAAATGGCAAAACTGATGTTCA